ACTCCTCATTCCATCCTCGGAGCAAAGCTGTTGATTCTTCCTTCAACACCGACGATGGGATCATGTCCTCCACCACCACCATAGCAGCAGCAAACAGTTGGCTTTGAAGACGGAAGGCCCATTCCTCCCGACGAGACCTGCCAGCATTTGCCACCTGAGGCCACCACCTTGTTTTGTCTCATGGCAGGGCCTGTCTTGGTACAGCCTGTTTCCTTGTGCCTCGTGACAGTGACAAGCATCAGGGCTCTCTATTGGGCCACTGTTAGTATTACTGTATTTACAGACACCCACAGTAAAGAAGGACTGTTTCTGGTCTACGGAAAAAAAAAAACTAGCAGTTTCTCATAACACAGGATGTTGCTTTTCCCCTTGCAATTCAAGCCGGCCACATGAAGAGATTTACTGCACAACAGAAGATCAACCCACATGCTAACCGTTAGTCAAGGGACTTCTATTGATGCCTGTGACCGTTTGCCATATGGATGAATCCATGTCATCGGGATAGGATCCCCTTTGTGTAAAGCACAATTCTAGCCATATTGTTTAAAGTTTAACGAAAATATTTATTCAAAACATGCAAAACACTTTAAAAACATTTGGCACTGCTGGAGCTATTTTGATGGAAGTAAGTCGTTTCCCCCCCCCTCCCGAATTTGGGTTGTACAGAAGCTGCCACCATCTGCCCTCCCTCAATTAAGTCACACTCATTCAGTGTTCATCCGTCAGAGCAAAGCCTGGCTGTTGTCTTACCCTAACAGTGTACTCTACCATATGGTCAGGTTGCTTAAAATAAACAAAAAGAAAAGGGGGAAAAATAGATTTATCCTACTTCTGGGATACAGTAATCCTAAGAATCTTAATTCTGCAACACAAACAAGTTGTTGAATTGTTTAAATGCTGTATGCATATATTTAAGCATTGTTTGTTTAATTGCTACAAATACTTGGCAGCTTATTACCTTAGGCGTTTTCTTAAATATCTTACAAGAACTAAGATCACTGTTTGAAAAACAAAACAAAAATATTTCAGTTATTTTCTTGTATAGAAGACGATTTATCTTTAGATTTGGTTTCATTCCACACAAAGGATTTCACAATGTGGGCTGCTCTAGATATTGTGGCACTTCACCTTCCATCTGTTCTGGCCAATGGGCAGGGATGTTGGGAGTCGTAATCCAATGATAACCGGAATGCCACTGATTTCACTCTCCTGCTCTATAAAGTCTTTCTGTGCTGTGGTGGCCACATTATACCAAAAGATACAGGGACAAGCAGTCTCAGGATGTCTGGGGTAAATAAGCTTCTTCGGAGCTGATACAGCCCAGAAAAATACTGTATAAAGATTTTGCTTCTGATGAAGCCCCTGCCGAAACACATTAAGCAAGAAAGTTTTTAAAGCTTTTCACCACTTAATAAAGATACAACATATTGTTATTTATCCCAGACATCCTGAGACTGTTTCTCCCTGTATCTTTTGGGTTCTATTCGATGTGCCATACAATTTGTTGGCCACATTATACCATCATATTGTACATGCATAATCCTGTTGACCACTACTGTCTTTTTTTTTTATAACATCAGTTTTGAATTAATAAAGCCAGGGTGGCATTTTCTGATGACACAGAGTACTAAATGGCATGTTTGCATCTCTGCTGTGTTCCTTGTGCTATGTGTAAATGTTAGAAATGCAAGGTGATTTGGGGGGGGGGGTTAAATGGTCTCCCCTTGCCACATATTGTTCATAGATCCAGTTTCCAAAGAGATAACCTGTTTCAGCATATTGACAAAATGAAACAAAGAGGGAAAAAGAAGGGGGGGGAGGAAAAGGAAATATGTTGTCCTTTGCTCCCACACTCCCTCATTCTCTCCTTAATTTTGTAAACAAGTGGTACATAATGTTGGCATTTAAATGGCTGGCGTCTCATTTAAAAAATGCAAGAAGGTTGTGAGTGATGATCTATCGAAAACCATCCTAAGCCTGTTCTAACCTAAATAGCTTTATTTTAAAAAGATCTAGCTAGAAGCAGACTAGGAGAGCTGTGATCTAGCTGCTGCCCGATTGCTGCAGTACTGGGGGAGAAGGTGTGATCCCTCCCCCAAGTCGTCCTATGCTTTGCAAGGGAAAACAAGTCCCAGACCAGAATGTGTGGAGCAAAAGAATATATCTTGTGTGGCAGAGCTGAAGCACCACATGCTGTTCTGCCCAAGGGTATTCTTGTGCTCCCCAAAGCCACTGAGAGCCTCTCCCCCCCCCCATTAAAAGCAATTGATTAAAACATTCAAGCCCCTGTTTCGATTCCAGGACATCTCCAGGAATTGTATTTTGAAGGTTGTTTTTGTTTGTTTGTTTGTTTTTGCATCAGGTGTTTAAGGGTCCCTCACCCCTGAAAAAATTAATAATAATTGAAAGTGCATACCTGGGCACTTCTGAGACAGTCCTGGGCCCACTGTGGGCCAGTATGGGGGCTGGGGGAACAGTGGACTTTTAAAGACCCCTGAGGTTTCTTCTCCCACCACACCTTCTGAAGCAACAATACTGACAACAGAATAAATAACTTTATTCACTATAGTTGCAACAGTTAACTAGAAAAGCGTAAATCCAACTTACAGGGTTCATCCACATATTATTACATTAAAGTGCATTTCTTTGAAAGCAGGGACAAAAGTGACTTCATTTAAACGTGTTGCCAAGCACACACTCGTCACACACAGCAATATATTGACTCTCACACAGAAGCACGCGTGTACACTCACACACACGCACACAGAGTGACACCTGAAATTGACAAATTCTGCAGCTAATCCTATCCAAAGCACACAGAAGAGCTCAGTTCTCCTGGAAACCCTCCATCGCTACAGCCTAGCAGGCCTTGCCCTGCAGCATCAGCTGCACTTTGAGAGCAGAAGAAGGCAAGCATTTTGATGTTGTCATAGTGACGATGATTGGCGGGGGGCCAAGTTTTGTTGAGACAACCAACAGAATTGCATAGACTTTGTGCAGATTAATGGGAAAGGGAATGAAGGGAAATGTGTTGCATTCCCTCACCCTGTCACCTCCTAGGAGGAGGCGGGGGCAGGGCAGATAACATGATAACAGCAAGGATGCACCAAAGGGAAAGAAACAAGGCTCCTGGTCACGGTTTAAAGGACCGTGGCATCATTTTCAACATATTTGGTTCAACTGCTTTCATTTATGCTCTGCATGGAAACAATACATAAAGATCATGTGACAACTTCATTTTCTGTGGTCAAGAATTCATGTTCATTTTTGACCAGTTAGAGAAAATCTTGGGCTTAATTCCAGTAAATCCAGGTCAAGATTATAAACAGCTACTGTTACAGATTTTTGTCCTCGTTCATTTCAGGAAGAAATGTTAATCTATGCTGCATTCCCACTACAGATGTGTTTTTCTCTGCATTCTTTAAAATGAATTGGGAGCCTGACCCATGCAAGAGAGGGCCATGTATGCTGGGGCACATACAGGTCTTTTGATCAAGATACATAAACTGCTGCAGCTGTACTTTCCTCTGTGAATGCATACATTTTGCATTCATTAACATCTGTGCACACACATACATATACATATACCTTACCTTATATACAATCTGATAAGGGAACAAGAGAAACAATGACGAAATAAAGAATAGTCAACCATCATTTGGCCATATGCAAATTACAGCCTTTCCTAATAGAAAAACCATGTGGAAACTCAATGTACGTAGCCATATTTAGAGGTAAGATTCTTTTATTCCTCACAGCTATTAAAGGAACTTGTGAAAATATTGTCAATCATCCATGAATGCATAGATTTCAAACAGTAATTTCTTGGACAGAGGTTTTGGCCCCCCAAAAAGGGACATGAAATGGTCAATATGAAGATGATACTTTTAAAAAGAAGTTAGTCATGTAAGCAATCTTCTGCCTGGAGAAAAAAATGGTAAAATGCAATGCATATCCTGTCTTATTCATTGTTGCACTAGAAAAGAGGTTCCCAACCTTGGAGTTTTTGGACTGCAATTCCCAGAAGCCTTCACCATTGGCGGTGCTGGCCAGCGTTTCTGGGAGTTGCAGTGCAAGAACACCTGGGTTACCTAAGGTTACCTGCACTAGAAGGTATCTTCTTTCTGCCTGTGCTCAATGAGCTGTTAGATGTGTACCCCGAAAAATTATAATTAACATCTCTGGGATTAATAAGCTAAAAGGAGCAATATCCACATAACTTTAGCAGCTTATTCAAACAATAGTTTGATAAAATCCGAAAAAATATAAACAGCTTTGCGACAGATCCAGCTTCCCATTTTTAAGTCATCCTTTTCTCTCCCTCTCTTTGGCCTTTTTCTCTGTCCTGGACTAGAAGTCAGTTTCTCAACTGAAATCTAATAATCTAGGGGTATACAATATTTTCTTCCTACTCACTCTGATTCAGAAGCAGACATGTGGCCTTGACAAGCTCTATGGTTACCTATAGGAGTCATTGTAATGGAGGCCTTACTGCCCAGTGGTCTGAAAGCCAAGACAAACAGTAAGCATGGCCAGAATTATGCAGAAGAGCTGGAACAGGAGAAGAAGTAAATCCTGGGCTACCAGTGCACTCAATTTCCAAATAATATTATTGACAAATATCTCAGCCCATATTTAAATATACTTTAATTCAATGACCCTAGACTGCTGCTTCTTAAACACTTTACTAAATAGCATATGTATGAAAAGTTTTTCTTGATCAGCCGGTTTATGGGTTTGTAGCTTAACTTCTCCTTTGGAATATTTAGTTATTTCCAAAAAACACTGGGGTTCAATTTCCTAGGGAGGTTTTATCTTGATCTGTCACTTTTTTGTATCACTGCCCCAAGTTAGGAAACTGACATCATTTTGGTGCTTGGAGCAATACTACCCCAATTATAACGTAGGTTAATGTAGCTAAATTCTGTGTTCCAACATCTGCATCCAAAATGTTCTGTACTCCTAACTGAGCTTAATCTAATGTCTGTGAGGTTTTTTTAAACCTCCTTTTGGTCCTATGCTCCTGCTACTAAAAGTAGCAGAATGGATGTTTCTGCCAGATGTAGTATTATCCTATCTACATATTCCCTCTTTGGTGAAACATTACAATAGAAACTGATTGGAACTCTTTTACTATTTTCCATTGTATCTCTGAATAATACCTCACTACATTTCTATGGGAAAAGCTAAGGGAACAAAGACTTTGCATCTGAAATCTAAGCAAAGGGAAATAGCATAAAATCAGCCTGAGGTATTGTTACAGAAAACTTCAAAGCTAATTTGCAAACAAGTGATAAACAGCTTCCTAAGTCCTTGGTGCTGGGCACATGCAGGCTTACCAACACGCTTTCTTTGTTGAGACCATCTATGCATTTGACGTCATGGCTGGGCTCAACATGGAAGGCAGAAACAATGTAAGCAAAAGGCCCTGAACTTCCTCTTCTCACTCTGCTTTGTCAAGGACTGCTCCACATCCTTATTGTGCTACCTTCTATCCAAAGGCTGACAGCTCTTACAAATGTAGGGCACAGATCAGATGAACAAGAGGTGGCCCTCCAGATGTTACCGGACCACATCTCCTAAACATGAACTGAGTGGAGCTGGGAGTCCAATAGCATCTCTTGGCTACAGCTTGTCCACCATTCTAGGTGACGGTACAAGAACAGAAGAGAAAAACAAAGGTAGTTCCGTCATTCTTAATTGTGTTCTGGGTCTGTGCAACGTAAGTGCTGTACCGTCACTGGCCAGAATTCTACTGTGGGTTTATATTGGCAGTGGATTCATATTGTGGTGGCAAATTGCTAAATTACTGTAGTTGCTGCTCACATAAGATAGTGGTGCAAATCACACCTGACAGCGTGCTAATTAGCAGCAAATTCACCTCAATGGTTTGCACAATTACACTTAAATTTGTAGAAATCTGTAACAGAATTTTGGCCAGAGGTTATCATGGGACACAACTGGCTGTCCTGGTGCTTTCCTGTGGGTGCCACTTGGTCACTCACTTACCTAACTATAACAGGGAACTTAATATTTAGCAGAGAGCACAGAATCCTCTGAAAACGTGTCCATGACTTAATAATATGACTAAGGTTATGTGTAGGACTAAGCTTTTTTATGTAGACAAGTTTGGTTGATACAAAACTAGACACCTCGAGACCTTTGTCTTTCAGAAGAATTCAGATATCTGGGTAGGGTGGTTGAGGTAAGCTTGTTTTATTATATACACCACCTGGAGTAGTGTTTGTCACTAACTGGGCGGTATAGAAATTCAATGAATAGTAATAATAATAATAAGAATTATGTATACAACAACTTGGAATCATCAGCCTGTATTTCCATTGTACTTTGAAAGAACGGGGTGGGGTGGGGGGAGAGACGAATCCACCCATTTCCCATAAATGTTGTAAGAAAAGGATAGTGAAGCTGTGAATTCCAGCAACTCTTCCACCTGATGGTCTCTTCAAAGAGTGGGAAGCCATGAGTTATCTCTAATATCTCAGGCACCATGAGGCTCTTTGTGAGCCTTACCACCAAATACAACATGCTCCCAAATGTTATCTTCCACCATATGAACACTCGGCCACCATTCAGCAACTACTGTGAGTCACAGAGAACAAAAGGATAGATATGCTACCAACCCTGAATTTTTATTCAAAAGAGTATGAGTATTCAAAGGCCATCAAGGCTTTTGGGACTGATCAAGGATCCCTCATGGTCTTTGAATAATAGGGACCAAATGTTCTTTTATCAGCATTTATTAGGAAACTCCTTTTAATCATTAAAAAAACATCCAAACTACATAAACCATATATCCTCCCTCCCTTCTGGTTTAATGTGGAACCCACAGGTAGTAAAGGCTCACTTCTAAAAATGAGTCTCTGTCTCTTGCTTTTGAAATGGTTTCCCATGTGGACAGAAAGTTTTACAACTGTTTAAATATAAGACATGTTCTAAAGGGACTGTATTTCAAGCCAAAGGTCAGTGGGCAGCGTAGAAGGAGAGCAGCCAACTTTGCTTTGCTTTTTTTCTTCTTCCACTGGCTTGTTAGAATTACAACTTTCAATCTATTATCACCCCTTTGGGAACAGCTGTTCTGAGGTTTCCCAGGAAGCACTGCAGTGCCTACCTTGTGACATGTATTATATTTCCAATAAAAAAGACTCCTAAAACAAACAAACAGACAAACAGAAATAAAACTAATAAAAATACACTGACAAATCAAAGGTTATTGGACATTGTACGTGCAATGAAAATTAGATTATGGCTGAGCCAAATGATCTAGATGTATTTGGGAATGGATGGGTTCTAAAACCTACTGGAGACGACCAAGTCCCTGAGATTTTTCCTTGTTGAGCCATTTTTCATAAAGCAGCCACAAACTGAGGTGCATCGCACACACAAAAACAGATTATTCTTTCATCTGTATGAGAGGGAGGTTTGGCATAATTCCTCTTTGGGTAAAATATTTTCATCCACGTGAGCATTTTCTGGTAACGCAAAGCAGGACCCCTACCTGTGTCTTACAAAGATGTTTGTTTAGCTTACAATAATAGTTACACCCAAGCAGAAGACCGATCCTATTTTAAGCAGGGAGAAAGGTTACCTAACAAGACAGCTTTCAAACAGAGATTTCATGAGCTGGTTGTCTTCCAGTCCCCCAAACAAGATGGCCCAGCCCTAAGCTAGTCCTATTTCTAAAACAAATAAACCATTTCAAAATTGTCTCAATCTCTGCCTACATGTCGGACGTTCACTCTCGCCACACTCAAACACATGTTTCCGGGTTAGTGACGACCTCTCCGTTTTTCTCGCCTTTCAGAAAGTGTTCCACTTCAATCGAGTCCACCTTGGCCTCTCCAGGTTGTTTGTTTAAGCCTTCTCTTTCAGCAGCATCTTCTGTTGTTTGTTTTGCTCGTCGGATGCAGCAGGCATTTCCCACAGCCAGCACCACAGACGAGGTGACCACTTCAGTACCCGCCAAAAGAAACACATACATATATTTGTGTGTTGCATCCAAGAGTTTGCCTGGAAGAGAACATAGACACGTTTAGTAACATACTCATTTCCACACCTCAAAATCTTTTTCTATTAGTTTGAAGGGACGGATTCAACATATTGAGAAGGAAACAGTCAGGTATCTTCTAAGAAAAAAGCCTACGTTGCTCAAAATTAGATCCCTGCGATGATTTTTTATTAAAAAAATACACGGTGGTGATGAACAATAATTGAGTCTCTCTCTCTCTCTCTCTCTCTCTCTCTCTCATGTATATGTGCATAATATGTAGGTTTCAAGTTTCCAGATGTTTAATTGCTCTCCTATGTTTTGTATTTACTTATTTTAGCTACTTATATTCAGCTGAAAGAAGGAGCACATGCATCAAAATAAATAATATCAATTTGTAAAATAACATATCTTAAAATGTTTGAGACCATTTCCCTTAGGATATGGAACAAAGCATCCTAGACAAAGATGTGAGCTAGGAGTCCAAGCTTTTAAATATGTAGCAAAACTGTGGAAATTCAGTTTAAGTCAATTCTTTAATTCGGCTCTTTTTATTGTTGCCATTTAGGACCTTATGTGAAGTGGCTATGTCTTGAGTGGGACGCCACCACGCACACACTGTTTCTGCTCTCTGATCTTTGCTCCTTACTCTCTTCCTGAACTTGATTTCATACTCGTAGGCTTCAGCATCAAAGTTCTTGTCAGTCTCACGCATGCAGTGAAGAACATGAGACCTGTGCTGGATCCGGCCAAAGCTCTGCCTAGTCAAGTATTCTGCAACCAGTCAGGAGCTCACAGGGAGCCCACAAGCTGGACATGAATGAAACAGCATCCTCCTATTCACATTAAACAGTAACTGGTATTCAGAACTTCTGGTACCGCAGCTACAATATAATTGTATGATTGGTAGCCATTAACAGTTATCCACCACTTTAAAATGGTATTTATTAAATACCATTTTAAAAGTTATTAGCTATATTCAGGTTGCAATAAGTCAGTTCTGACTTGATAGAGTAGCATACGCAGCTGTAAAAATGACATATTTACAAAATCACTAATTCTGCCCCCCGCCCCCAAAACTCAGAATGATTTGGTAAACATGTCATCTCATGTTTTTAAGATTTGACTTCTTTAATGTTTAGGGCTTGACCCTTTGTTTTCCCCCTAGGCACCAGCAATGGTGAGAAATAAGAAGCACATCATCATCATCATCATCTCCCAAACTAATTTGCATCCCTTTTCTGACTTTTTGTACAAAATACTGCCCCTTCCCTGCTTAATAAACAGTGAAGGAATGGAAGGGCATGCTGACCTGCTCCAGGCGGTCCAATCAGAACAGCCAATGCCTCCGCCAGAAGAACTAAGCCAATGGCACTGGAAAACTTCTGTGTACCAACAATTGCCATGAGGACCTCGAACTGAAGAGCGCCAACCATTCCATAGGAAATGCCAAAGAAAATGCAGAAGACGACCAGACCGCCGTAATTGTAGGACATGGACCCCATGAGATCAGTAAAGCCATTAAAGAGCATGGCAAAACTAAAGAGGTAGACGCAGCGGGGCCTCACCCACTTCAAGCCGGCCACTATTCCACAAATGGGCCGAGCAAAGATATCAATGAATCCAAGGATGGTCAGAAGAAAAGCTGATTTGGTGTCCTCGTACTTCAGATCTTTAGCATAGCTCACCACAAAGACAGGGGGCACAAACAAGCCCAGCACCATGATCGATGCCGCTATGGTGTAGATTAGGAAGCCGCGATCCCGGAAGACGCTGAAATCCAGCAGCTTCTTCTTGGGGGCTTTCTCAGAGGTCCCTTGGGAAGCTTCGTTTTTTTTAGGAGGGTCCAAAGGTCTCATCAGAGCTCCACAAACACAGCAGTTCAAAAGGAGTCCTCCCAAGATGAGAAAACCCCCTCGCCATCCATAGGCAGGTTGTAATATCTGCCCTAAAGGGGAAAGGGCACAGAGGAACACGGGGCTCCCGGCGGCAGCCAGCCCGTTGGCCAAAGGCCGCCGCACGCTGAAGTAGCGGTTTAGCATGATGAGCGATGGCTGGAAGTTGAGTGCCAGGCCCAGTCCTGGGAAAGGAGAAATAAGGTCATCGAAAAGGCATACTGGGTTCATGCCCCACCCCCAAAAAATACCAGTTGTGTGATAGCCTTCTCATGCCACCATGTCAGCGTGCGCTGTTTCCTGGTTGGCCAAACTGATTCAGGAAGAGAGATGGAGCAGCCTGGGTCAAGCAAAGGGACGCTCACTACCTCTATGTTTGAGGTAATTTGTTTTCCCCAAAGACAAATTGTTTTAACCCCAGCACAAACATGATAGCTCTTTTGCTTGTTTTGGTGGTGGCGGAGGAAATATTTTCCAGGAAAACCAAACATGTATCATAATCTAAGAGATCGATCTGATTTTATTTTTAGGATTCAGGTTCTTAGGTTATTTCCACACAGTATTAAATAAGAACATAAGAGCCCTGCCACATTAGGCCAAGGGCCCACCTAGTCCAGCTTCCTGTATTTCACATTGGCCCCCACCAGAGGCCTCTGGGAGCACACGAGACAACTAGAGACCTCTCTCCTGATACATCTTCCCCTGCATCTGGCATTTGGAGGCCCCTTCCTTTGAAGCCTGGAGATTTTACATCCCCATCATGGCTTGGAACCTGCGACGGACTTTTCCTCCAGGAATCTGTCTAATCCCCTTTCAAAGGCATCAAGGCCAAATGCCATCACCACATCCTGTGGCAAGGAGTTCCACAGTCTAACAACACACTGGGTCAAGAAATATTTTCTTTTGCCTGTTCTCACTCTCCCAACACTCAGTTGGAGTGGATGCCATTAATTTGAATGGCAAGTCATTAATTTAGCAACCACAGAAGTACGTATGGGAATGAGGTATCAGCGACAGATTCATACTGGCTGCTTCTTCAATGATGGAGGTGGCCTGAGCTTTGCTACCATTAATATATATTTTTGCTGCTGCCTCCCTCTCTCTTCCCCCCCTCAGCCCCACCACCACACCTTGCCTCCTTGTTTCCTATTTACCTTGACAACCTTCTGTAAAGAAGCGCTGGCTGTAGCCTGCATATTGCCATGCACCGTGTTGTTTTGTTTTATGAGGCCAGTGCTTCTTTACAGGGGGAGGGCCCCCAGGGTAGACTGGCAGGCAGGCACATGGGCAAACAGCAGCTGAAGCTGTGGCACTGTCACAGGGAAAGAGAGGACGGGGCAGTGCCAGGGCCTTCCAGGGGCCACAGTTTGCTGTAACCCAACTCCAAGCCTATTCACCCACAAACATGGTAGAGCAAGCCCTGCTCACTCGCCTGACGAAGGAGTACAGAAGGGTAACAGACGCTGGACTGCAAGAAAAGGAAGTAGCAGCGCCTACCATTTGGGAGAGGAAGACATTTGCCCCAGTCAGTAGAATTTTTTTTATTATTTGCTCTTTATTGACAGCCTTGGGAGAAGGTGTTTTGTGATTTTCCACATCATATAATTGTATTTTAAATGTTGTAAGCCGCCCAGAGACCTTTGGGTAGCGTGGGCAGCATAAATAAATAAATAAATAAATAAATAAATAAATAAATAAATAAATAAATGAACGAACGAACGAACGAACGAACGAACGAACGAACGAACGAACGAACGAACGAACGAACGGTTATCTTTGGGAACGACACATCTTGAGAAGAGGGCATTTTGTTCTTTTGCCCCTGGCAAAAAAGTACCCCAGGTGGCTCTGGGAAATAAGACAAAGCTAGAAAGCAGTTAGCAAACAGAATAGATGGGGGAGGGGGAACAGAGCTGCTTTGAAAGGTGAGATGAGGCAAGTACTGTCAGGCAAGCACATTCTACAGCCCTTCTGAAACAGTTGCTTCAGAATGTCATCCAGAAAGATTCTACTCAGGCCTCTCTAGGCAGGCAGGGTACCAGCACCTCAAAGAGAAGGCCGCAAGGGTTGCTGTTTTGGCCACCAATGTCAAGCTGGCCCACAGCCTCTTATATGCCAGTGGATGACGTAGCATGGCTGAAGGTGACAGACAACACACCGACTGGTTCTTTCAAACACTCTCTCTAGTACTTACCTGTAATGACACCAGCACTAAGATAGACCTGAATGATATTGGTGGAGAAGGAAGCTAAGATCATCCCAAGGGAAGCAAAGAGACCTCCAACCAGCATGACAGGACGGCAGCCCCAACGATTGACACACACGCTGCACAGGGGACCTGAGCGAAATGGATACAATAATTTAGAGTCCTGCTTCTGTACCTCACCACAAACAATGATTTATCACTTAAATCTTGTCTATTTTCCTCTTACATTTTGGCAGAGGTGGTCCTACTGATAAGCCCAGTCAGGTGGTCACTGCAAGATGGCAGAGATCAAGAGGCAATAAATGTTCCACCCTTCACTGCCAGCGCTACCATGCCTTTGCTGTTCTGGAGGACGGTGATCCAAGGCAGCTCTCCAGAACCCCCTACCTACGGGAATGCTTCACGCTGAGGGATCATCGGAAGGTGAAGACGCAACGGGAGACTGACCTGAAAAATCACCAGGGCTGGACATATGCAATTCCCATTACAGCCCTTCCCATCATGCATTTGCTCACAAGAGTGAGACGTTCCCACAGACAGAGTACTCAAAGTCAGGGGAGTGCCTCCTTATTTCTTCTCTTGGCAGTGGGAACACCACAGCCATATTCACCAGCACCTCCATCTCCTCATCAATCCTTTCCCCTCCATACGCTCCTGCCTCCTTCTCTGACATGGCACAGTATGGATGAGCAAGGGTGGAGGGAGGTATATGCACATGCAAGGGATGTAGCGGACAGCTCTAGGGATGTCAGAGCAGCACTCAGCCCCCACCTCAAGCAAGAGGCGAGCTGCACACAGCTGGCACTCAATCCAGGCATCAAAGCCAACAACATATTTTGTTGATGGGAATCCACTGAAACCTTGGAGTTCCCCTGAAATGAGCCCTGCAGTGTCTCTGCTCACCTATTATGAAGAAGCACAGCATGGGGCTCGTGATCGCTGGGCTGACCAAATCCAGAGAGCAGTGCAGTCGAAGTGACTGTTGGATCTTGCAAGAGGGAGAGGTAGGCAGGTCATCCTAGCGTATGGCTGGGTCACATCTGACCCTCCAGATGTTGACAAACAACTGCCCCTGGCACAAATGGCCTTGCTGGCTAGGCCTGATGGACATCTGAACATCCAGAGAGTTGCAGGTTCACTGGCCCTGCTCCAAACAGCTGGTTTTCTGCTTCCCCTCTTGTTGTTGGCTTGCAACTTTAACAAGCCTCTGGGTCCACAAATTGCGACCTGGGACAGTGGCCAAAAGTGCTTTTCACTAGCTCAGTCTTCTCAGAATCTAGAATCCTTCTCAGCTGAACAGAACCTGGCATGCAGTACAAATGGTAATTGGTAATCTCGGATCTAGAGTGTAACATAATTTGGAGAAGCTGCGCTTAATGACTGGCCAGAAACGTCAGAGGATGCAAACCACAGCAGTTCATCCCCAGATAAATGACTTGTCAAGGACACTCTGCGCCAGTACTCCAGTATCTGCACTGATTTTCCACAACTGGGGTCTACACAAATTTAGTTTACCTATAGCAGGAGGAAGGGGACTCATAATAGGTAGGCCAATGTATAATTCAAACTGGCAATCTCCTCTTCTCCCTCTACGCAACAAGTGGGATGGGCCTTGCTCTCATTTACCCCAAAGTGGTTCCCTCCAAAGGGGAAAGGTGATACAATGGTGACCTTAAGTCCCTAAAAGGAAATGCCCAGTCAGGAGCCTGGTCTTTTCTCTCATGATCAGAAATAATATAAAAAGCAAGAATCAAGATCACCCAGCCCACTCATAATCTACCTAAACAAGAACAATAAGTTTCTTACAGGTTTTCTAGTTTCACTTAGTTCTTTATACTTTTTCATTTTACTAGGCTTTCAATCATGTCGTGGAAAACAAAAAGTACTGCTTATTACAGCTGATCATTCAAGAGAAATGGCAAAAGTGCAGGAGGGAGAAGAATATGTTGGCTAAAGAACCTTGGGGAACAGTATGGGTTGAGTATTAAAATCCGAAGAGAACTTACCTGTTCCATAGAGCATGGCCAATAAAATGGAAGAAATCCATGCTGTGTCACTGTAACCGACGCTAAACTCCCGGATAAGTTCCTTAAAGAAGACACTCATGGCCTTTGGGAAGGCGTAGGAGAATCCAGTGATGACAAAACATCCAAACAGAACAGCCCAGCCCCAGCCGCCATCTGGGGCTTTAACTCCGGAGGGACCGTCGTCAACCACCACAGCTCCCATTATGAGACCTTACAAGTTTCCTAAGAAATAACAGTAAAAAATATAGCAGTTAGTCTTCAATCATCATCATCATCATCATCATCATCATCATCATCATCATCTTAGAACTGCAGGGCTGGAAGAGACTCTATGGATCATGAAGTCCAGCCCTCGTCAAGAAAGGACAGTGGCAAATGGAACTCCCAACCTCTGGCTCCAAAGTCGGATACCTAAACCACTGGGCTATCCAAGAGTTAAGGTGCTACAATGTTTTTGTCTTCTTTTTTAAATTTTATTTTATGTTGGCCTGTTATAGTTAAAATAGTTATTATATTGACTATAGGTACCAGACAAAACAACCAAATGCAGTCTTTATTATGCAACAAAGGACTGGGCTGGCACACAGACTCTAAACAGGAGGCCTTGTGGAAGGGAAAGGAAGGTTTTCCACAGCTGTTTGCATTTTTATTATGGAAGTAAGTGTGCCCAAGTATTAGAGATTATTGTAAAGGAATATTAGCTCTGATTCAGGTGGGGCGTTTGGACAATATGGCAGAGGAGAGACAGAGGTCTTCTGTGGTACCAGATTTGCATAAAATAAAAACAGATTTGTTTGCTGGGGATGGAAGCAGACAGCGATGCAAGACATATTCAGATGGGGCTCTTTTACGAAGGTGCCCTCCAACATATGAACATTGCAAATGGATGTATCCAATTTATTTGGGGCATGTCCTATTCAGTGGAGAATCATTTGATCATCTACAGACAAAATACAGAAACAAATCAACATGCAAAGCATATGTGAATATAATACAAAAGAGAATTAGAGATGATCCGTGGTAGGTTTTTTTTTTTAAAAAAACAAACAAACAATATTTTGGCTAGCTCATGAAACACAAATAACTTCAGTTTTAGTACCCAGTGTGGTGCAGTGGATAGTGTGACAGACTAGGACTCAGGAGGGGTGGGTTTGAATCCCTGCTCAACCATGGAAGGTCACTGGGGGTGGGGAACTGGCAAAACCATTCCTTAAATAACTCATGTACCTTGAAAGACCTATTAGGTTTGCTATAACATGGTTCCAACCTGACTGCACATAACTAATACATTTTTGCATTTACTGCTCTAGTCTCCCCAGCTTAAAGAATTGTATTATAGAAAAGAGACCCAAGGAATGAGAAGGGGGAAACAGAAAGGGGCTCAGCAAGCCCACCACTACTGCTCCCAGGGCTCAGCTCCCCAGATCCAGCAAAGCTGCTGTCCATCAATACTGCAAAGTAGATTTTTCTGCTCCCACTCCTTTTGCCCAGCATGGATTTGCATCTGGAACTGGATGAGATTTCATAGACCTTGGAGGGCACCCCTGAGAGGCAAAGGAAACAGGGGCTAAACTGCTCCCACAATTCTTCCAGCAAAACGTTGACTCGGTAGTGACAAGTCAGTCCTAGGTGCTGCGTTTAGTAACGAAGCTCCATGCAATAGCCAACACACATACAATTTCTAAGAAGGTAGATTTATTACAGTGGAAAGAAATAAGTGTTGTTTGTTTTGGTGCAACAGACAAGAATAACAAAGCATAACTGAGTCTCTGGGTCTCAACAGAACAGGTTCCACAACCATAGTAACACAGAGAAACATAAGAAACTTGAAACATCATGAAGACAACATGAGATGAAGCCAAATGCTATGGGCTACTCTTTTATACTCCTAACCTTCAAGAACAAAGGCAAATTTAATCAACATAGCTAATCTCAGTCTGGCCAGCTGTGGCATTCTCAGATTTTGTTACACACACACACACAGAGAGAGAGAGAGAGAGAGAGAGAGAGTTTATGAATATGGGATATGTGCTTCTGTATCAGTGATTCAAAATGCCAGGAAATTTAATTATTTATTTAAAATATTGTTCTCCTGCCTTTCTCCTTAAAAAGGATCCAAGGTGGCTTACATCCTTAAAAGACAATATTTAAAGTTAAAAACAGTAAGTATACCAATATGCATCCAATGTCAAAAACACATTCAAAGCAGTAAGACAGAACAATCCAAAAACTCCACTCAGGGAGCCAGTCACTAAAGGGAAAAGCTTGCTTGAAGAGAAAGGTCTTGCAGAAGGACAGCAGGGAATGAGGGAAATGGCCCAAAATTGCTGCACAATATCATGCCCACATTTCAAGCAAGCAAAAGGATGCCAAACTTTACACAGCAGAGGACATCCTGAATGTTGACAACACCAATGGCAGCAGTCAAGATGGTCTACAGCATTACAGTACTAGGTAGGGATAGATGTCTGCCTGCCTATTGTTTTGTATATATGTTAAATACTGTAGATTAATAAAATAAATACAGCAATGGTTCCCAAGCTTGGGTAACCCAGGTAATCTTGGACTGGAATTCCCAGAAGCCTTCACCGCCAGCTGTGCTGGCCAGGGTTCCTGGAATTACAGTCCAAGAAACCTGGTCTACAGGATACCTTTCTCTGCTCACTACTATTCACATTTGTCAAAAAAAAAAAAGCCATGACAATTGCTTTGTGTTGGCTGAGTGGTTCATTGACGAAAAAAGGAATCCATTTCTGGGATTTTCCCTTCTCTGGTGTCACTTTGTGAATGGTAGGTGCACATAGGAGGGGAGCCCACCTTGACTACAGACGTCGGTATGGTCAGCATTCAAGGCTGCCCTCTGCTCTGTAAAACTTCACATCCTTTTTCCTGCTGGCAGTGCAGGCATGATCATGTACAGCAATATTGGGCCATTTCCTGGCATTTTGAATCATGGATACAAAGCACAATATCCCACATTCATAAACTAGATGGTTTTTTTAAAGAATTGGTGGATATCTTCCTGCTGCTCCCTCCCAGAGGGATATGGAGGGATATGGAAATCCACAGAGGGATATGGAAATCCACAGTAGGCTGGCTAGGTGTCAGTGTACCTTCTATGAAAATAATAAAAATAAAAATAACAGAGCTTTTAGTTCACCAAGCCCTAGCTCCACTAACCCTTTGGTACTTCACTGTGGAAGTCTCTACTGCTGAACGGTACGTATTTCTTTAGAGAGAATGAGAAACATTGTGTAATTATTATGGTTCTCCCGGTGCTGGGCTTCAGACATAAGTAAACCATTCAGGGCTTTTTTGATGGTGGAATTCACTGGGAACTGAGTTCTGGCACCTTTTCTTCTATTAATCAACCAAATTCCAGCAGCTTTTTCTGGTTTGAAGTAAGATAGGCATAGTACTATACTGCCTGCTCAACAACCTTGCTTCAAGATCTAGATTTAGTTAGCATCCCCAACTAAGAGCCTGGTCTCCTAAGGAGGGCCTCAGGCGAAAGCAAATCTCCAGGTGGCTAGAACCAAGGCTTTCGTTCAGAATTTCGCAGCTTTCTTTCATGTGACTTTGGGCATTCTTTTGTGCTGAAACTGTGATGGTGAGCAATATGGGAGAAGGGGAATCACAAGTTATTTCCTGTGCAAAAAAAATCAAAATCAGAAATTGTGTGAGTAAACTGAAATGGTGGAATCACATCAACTTCCAAGTGCGCCTACGTCTTCCTGTGCTGAAGAGAGAAATGTAAATACAAATTGGCTTGGTTGATGGCTACCTGAACAGATAAACAATTTGCTTTAGAGGTATGACTGCAGGAAAAATAAGGAAAAAGAAGAAAAGAAGAAACCTGGTTGTATTCAGTACCAAACTATTGGAACACTGGGAGCTGAGAAGAAAATGGGGATGAAAATATTTAGAGTGGGCAAATTCTGCCTATGATGAAAAATAAAAACAGCAGTTGCCATCTTGAAGGGAAAAATTATTTGGTACTGACCCAACAAAGATGCCAGTATTCTCTTCACGTGTAAATGTGACAGGCATTAGGCCAAGCAGCAAGAAATTGCAATAGTGAAATCGGTGTCACATCCCCAGCATCCACTTTGGGCAAGCCAAGTGTTCTTGGGCTGCAGTTCCCAGAAGCCTTCATCATCAATTATGCTGACCAGGGTTTCTGGGAATTGCAGCCCAAGAACACCTGGCTTGCCCAAGGGTGGGAACCACGGTCCAGCAGAGGTGCTTCGGGGATAGCACTTTCACCTCAATGGTCACACAACAGGCATGCAGTTGTGCAAAAGGATTCTGGTCATTATTCACAGCTGCTCCACTAAGGGCAATCTACAACAAAACAAAGAACAAAGCCGAGAAAATGAAGCCAATGAGAACACAATACAGCTGAAACATCTTATAATATAACCTACCAAATTGGGGGGGGTTGTATATAATACAATACAACATACGTTATATTAGTGTTTGTCAATTATTGTAATATTCTTAATTACAATTTAATTACCACATCTACCAATTTAATTACCTTCCTGAGGAAATTTAATCCAAGAGTTTCAGTACCTTTTTCTCCTGATGAAAAGCACTCTGTAAGACCCAGATACACAGTCACTCTTGCAGTCAACTTTCTGTTTAGACATCTAAGAGCTGAATACATTATAATTTAGACCCCTTTCTGTGACATTTAGGCCCAATGCTGCACAGCTTAGTAGAAACAATTTCACATTGAAACTCCAAACCAAAAATAAACTTGGCAGAGGTGGCCAAAGCAGATCTATTGCATGAAGCTGGTCTTTCAGAAGGAAAGCATCCAAATGCTTTCCCTTCATTAACACTCAGCGTCTGCTAGAGGACATTCGGTTTCAATACATACACAAGCTGTCTGAACTCCATAGAGATGGGACACGAGGCAAGCACAAAGCAAAAGGCTGTATATAAAGGGCAGGATTTTTTTTAAAAAAGCGCAACTAGTTCCATATGCCTAAAGAGATTTTGGTCTTGCATCTTTGGAACATCTTGCCCTCATCAAACTCACATGGAAACGTACAAACTACTTTTCAGACAGAGGAGTTTCAAAATCAGATTGAAGGTAGCAGAAGTGATAGATAGGTAGATAGATAGGTAGATAGGTAGATAGGTAGATAGGTAGATAGGTAGATAGATAGATAGATAGATAGATAGATAGATAGATAGATAGATAGATAGATAGA